TTAACAAAAGTCCAGTTCTTAATGGAATTTTCCACCTAGGGATGATAAATTCTTACTTCTGTTCACTGGTGACCCTTGGCTAAAGGGGTGTCTTTTGCAGCAGACTTCCTGTTGGCTGCTGCCATAGACCAGGGAGGGCACTCTCTTCTGTCTTTTTTTGTTGTTGTTGCTGTTGTTGTTACTGGGGATCTAATCCAGGGGCACTTTATCACCCCCGGCCCTTTTCATTTTATTTTTTTAAATTTTATTTTTGTATTTTTTGGTACTTGAGATTGAACCAGGGACACTTAACCACTGAACCACATCCCCAGCCCTTTTTGTATTTTATTTAGAGACAGGGTCCCACTGAGTTGCTCAGGGTTATACTAAGTTGCTGAGGCTGGCTTTGAACTCACAATCCTCCTGCCTCAGCTTCCTGAGCTGCTGGGATTACAGGCGTGTACCACTGTGTGGGCTCCTTTTTATTTTTTATTTCAAGACAGGTCTCACTGAGTTGCTGAGGGTCTTGCTATGTGACTGAGGCTGGCATCATACTTGTGATCCTCCTGTGTCAGCCTCCCAAATCCCTGGGATTACAGGTGTGTGACACTGCAGCCAGTTCCCCTGTATCTTTTCCCCAAACCCTGGCTACACCTCTGACACCACAGTAAATGGAGTTTGGCCATTTTGATTTCTGTATTTAAATGCCTTCATAGATCAGATGGTACATCAATGAAGTGCCACTCAGGAAGGCTGAAATACACCCATATGCCTTTAGTTTGTCATTAGAGAAATAAGACAAGTGAATAAAATAGGATTAACCTTCAAATGATTTAACTTGGTATTTCTCACAAATACTAAAGAACAAATTCCTTTCATTTTGTTGAGGGATGTCAGCATTAAGGAAGTGTGGGGTCTCTAGCAAGAATTGTTACAGATGCCAATTCTGAATAAGCTGACAGTCTAGATTTTTACATGTTGAGGGTATTGAGCAAAGCTTTCCCATCATAAGAGACTAATTCCTTGTTTGAAATCTCACTTAGAGTGGCTTAGAGGCATTTATCTAGATGTTTTAAAGCACTCACATATTTGTCTTCCCTTTTCCCCAATCTCCTGTCATTTTGGCTGAGAGTCTTAACTCACCAACTAGATGAATAACAAAAGCCACTCTTACAACCTAAGAAACCAAAGGTGAAGTTATACGTTTGGATTTCTTCATAATGTTAATCTCATTCTTCTTTGTTAAAATGATTTTTCTATATTTTGAAGTGTAATCATTCTAAATATAACAAAATCCCTTTTTCTAATACTTGGAATTGAACCCAGGGCTGCTCTACCACTGAGATACATTCCCAGCCCTTTTTATTTTATTTGGAGACAACATCTCACCAAGTTGCCAATATTAGACTTGAACTTGTGATCTTCCTGCCTCAGCCACTGGAGTAGATGGGATTACAGTTGTGCACCACTGCACCCAGCAACAACCTGGTATTCTTTTTTTTTTTGCAGTATAAATAGCTGATATTATTGTTTAGAAAATAATTACAAGAAAAAATTCTGTTCAGTACAGACACAATTTTTTCTTCTCCCCCATTTTTTTTTAAATCGGTGCATTATAATTATATATAATAATGACTTTTTTGTTACACATTTATACATGCACACAATATAACAATATAATTTGGCCAACATCCCTCCCCAGCACTCCTCCCCTTTACCCCTCCCATCCCTTTCCTCTATTTATCTCCCTTTGATTTTCATGAGATCCTTGCCCCACCACTTTCTTTTCCTTTTTTCTCTCTACTTCAACAAATGAGAGAAAACATACAACCCTTGACTGCCTGAGTTTGGCATACTTTGCTTAACATATGGTCTCAAATCCCATCCATTTTCCTGCAAACGACATAATTTCATTCTTCTTTATAGTTGAATAAAACTCCATTGTGTATATGTACCACATTTTCTTTATCCATTAATCTATTGATGGACATCTAGGGCAGTTCCATAGTTTGGCTATTGTGAATTGTGCTGCTATAAACATAGGTAAGTATGTATTACTGTAATATGATGATTTTAACTTTTCAGAATAATATACCAAAAGGTGGTATAGCTAGGTCACATGGTAGGTAGTTCCATGCCTAGTCTTTTGAGGAACCTCCATATTGATTTCCCTAGTGATTGTACTAATTTACGATCCCACCAACAGTGTAAAAATGTTCCTTTTTCTCCACATCCTTTTTAGTATTTATTATTGTTTCTATTGTTTTTTAATATTTATTTTTTTTAGTTGTAGCTGGACACAATACATTTATTTCACCTATTTATTTTTATGTGATGCTGAGGATCGAACCCAGGGTCTCGCACGTGCAAGGCTCCACCGCTGAGCCACAACTTGAGCCCCTTATTGTTTGTATTCTTAATGGTTGTCATTCTGACTGCTGTGAGACGAAATCTCTGTCTTGATTTGCATTTCCATAATTGCTAATGATGTTGAACATTTTTTCATATATTTGTTGGCCATTTGTATTTCTATGTAATTCATTTGCCCATTTACTAATTGGGTTATTGTGGGGGTTGGTATTAAATTTTTTCAGTTCTTTATATATTTTAGATATTAATCCTCTGTCAGAAGAATAACTAGCAAAGATATTCTCTTGTAGATTCTTTCTTCACATTTTCAATTGTTTCCTTATCTGTGCAGAAACTTTAATGTGATGCCATCTCATTATTAACTGTTGGCATTATTTCCTGATCTTTAAGGGTCTTAAAAATCATCGCCTGTGCCTATATGTTGGAATGCTGACCCTACACTTTCTTCTAGGAGTTGCATAGTTTCTGGTCTAATTCCTAGGGTTTTTTGATCCATTTGGAGCTGATTTTTGTGCAGACAACCTGATATTCTTAATAACTTATCACAGCAAAGGTTTATTTCTTGATCTTGTCACAACCCAGGATGGGTCATTGGAAGCTGGGCAGCTCCTCTCTTCCGTGTACATGCAGGAACACAAGCTCCATTTATCTGGGGCTCTTTCGTTTTCTGGGGTTTGGTGTCTTCCTCTTTTTCCTCGGTGTCTGGCTACAGGCAAGAGTAGAAAGGTGCAGGGGTGTTATGGCTAGGCTTCTTGGGGACTTTCTTCACTTTCACCCACATTCTATTGTTTGTACTTAGTCTGTGACCAGAGCTCAACTATAAGGCTTGGATATGTAGCATTTGTGCCCAAGAAGAAAAGAGAATGGGGTTGGTAAACATGTGGCCTTGCCTTGGTCACATCAGAATGCCCAATGACACAGCTGCATGTTGGAGTGTGATGAGTTTTCAAGTCCCTTGAGGGTCTTGATCCATAGAGAAGATGTAGAGTACAGTGGCTCAGTGCATGACCTTGACCAGACTGCTAGTATCTAAATCCCAGCTCTACCATTTACCAGATTGTGACCCTGGGTGAGCAACTTAATATCTCTCTAGACCCAAGTTTCCTTATCTATAAAATGGGTTTAACAATAGAACAAAGAGTTCTTGTGAGAATCAAATGATTTACTGTGCCTATGTATTCAGAAGAGTTCCTGGAAGATAATTAATGTTAGTTGGTTAAATTTAAAAAAAGGAGACTAGTGACAAAGAGACCTAATTTCCTCTTGTGTGTGTTGTACTTTGGATATGTTGCCATTTGGATGGAACTGGTCTCTTTGAGTTCAACTGTAAAAATGTTTATTGGATAACTATTATTTGCAGTGTGCCAGGTGTGACCATAGAATCTAAATAAGTAGGCCTCTCACCAAGTCAAAAGAAACAGCATGTATTCCACACCAAATCTGCCTTTTAAACTTGGTGACTCTTAATCCATGGTTACACCAGCATCATGATCTTGGTCCCCACTGAGCAAATCCACAGCTTTCTCTGTACCCTCTGAATGGAGAGTGGCAGATGCCTAGTGCCCAGAGGGCTATTTCTCCTGCCCTGTCTGTCTTTTGGGCCTGTCAATGCCAGTCCTTTAACAGTTGCCTTGTCTGTCCACTTGGTACCTGGTTTGTTCCTGATCTATTTGCACTAGTGTATTACCTCTTCTAGTTAGGCTGCACAGTTCATCATGATGCTTGCTTTTATTTTTATTTTTTTTCTCCTTAAATGCAATTTTAATCTTTATTTTAAGCTAAGAACAATAATTTAATGCAATAAGCTAAATTCACACAAAACCTGTATACTCTGAGCTACAAAAGTGGGTTTTGTAGCTACCTATGGTTTTAGTCAACTACACATTTCCACAAGTACTTACAAATATGTTAAAAAATACTCTACCCCAAATGCTTATCCTACCATTAGCTTATTAAACATTAGTACCCATTCCTTCTACTAAAAGTAGATGATCAGGAAAATGAGTTCTAAAACTTAAAAAGTAACCTAAGTCCCAAAAGGTTTTAAATCAAAAAAAATCTTTCAACATGGAAGCATCAAAATGAAACTTTAAGTTTCTAAAAAAAAAAAAAATCACTCTTTAGAAAATATTAAAACAAATTATCATTTAAGACACATAAACATTTTTATAAAACTTGTAGTTTCAAATATCATCTCCTTAAAAGAAAAACCAGTTCACTATCTTTAATAACATCTCAGACCACTGTTGTCTAAAAACTTCAGAATATGTAAGGCATATGTCTCAGCTGTCATAGTCAAAATGACATCTAGATTTCACCTATTAAGCAGCTATAGTATAGCTTATAATGGCACAAGTATACCTAACACATAAATACTCCTTCATCCTTTAGATAGGCAAAAGTCAGAAGGAACTGCATAATTTGTAAGGTATTTTAACTTACATGTAGTCATTAAAACTCAGTAAGTAATTCAAGTATAGTCATGTAAAGCCAGGCAATTAAAGGCTCAAGGATCACTCTAAAATCAAAGACATGAAAATAAAGGCTGAAACTTTGTTTTTCCATCTTTCATTTACATGCCTAGATATTAGGACATTACTGTACAAAATACACAATTATTGTATATGATTTCCACAGAAGATAACGAAATTTCATGAAGTACAAAAATTATCAAGATCCGTAGTTTGCTTCATCAAATGCTTTTCTAGCTCGTTTCAATTCTTCATTCTTGGTAAGCAAGTCTTTAGCCCTAGCAAACTTCCTTGGGTCCTTTCGAATCAAGAAGACGATATCTTCAATTTGTACTCCACCTTGTCTTCCAATTGACATTGCCTTGTGGGTCATTTCAGAGATGAACTCTATGACAAGGTCTTCAAGAATATCCACTGACTCAGTGTAAGGATTCTGGTCATCCCCAAACCCATACATCATACATCGTAATTCTTTAGAAAAAAGTCTCTTTCTTTTACCCTGTCCACCTTCTGCATCTCCTCCAATTTCTTCATTTTTCTCCTCAAAGGTTGGGTCTTCTTCCTCATCTGCCATCCCACTAGCCTGCCAGCCCACAGCGCCTCGCTGGCTAGCTGCTGGCTGGTTTTACCCATGATGCTTGCTTTTAAAAAACACTTGAAAGTTAATGTGACTTCTGCACAGGATGCCCCCACCCCAACAGCAGACTGGGCTTAACACATTCTTTCTCTCACAGCTGGACGACTGTACTCTGCAGCTGTCCCACAATGGCACCTACCTGGATCTGGAGGCCACACTGGCAGAGCAGCGGGATGAGTTGGAAGGCTTCCAGGATGACGCTGGGTAAGAGCAACTGTTGTTCCTGCCGACTGTTCCCCACTTACCAGAATATGTGGTGCATTGGTGGCTTCAAATACTTTGGAGAAATCACAGTAACTTTGACCTCTTCAAAAGGGTCCTGCAGGTGACTCAGTGGTGACTGCAGACCCTTTTCCATTTTGAGGAGCTTTTCCTGATAAAGCGACTCAGGGATAGCCCACCCAAGGAAAATTTCTGGCATTTTAATCAAACACATGGTACTTACCCTCTAAGTTATTTTTCCATTTAAATATCACAATTAAATGAACATCTTATGCCTGTAATTCCAGTAGCTTTGGAGGCTGAGGCAGAAGGATCACAAGTTCAAAGCTAGCCTCAGTAATTTAGCTAGGCTGTAAGCAACTTAGTGAGACCGTATCTCAAAATAAAAAATATAAAGAGCTTGGGATGTGGCTCAGTGGTTAAGTGCCCTTGGGTTCAATCCCCAGTACTAAGAAACAACAAAACAACAACAAAAAAACCCATCAATATCTTTCAGATTTTAGTGGATTGATAACTGTTTTAAACATTGTTTACAATCATCTGTTGGATATTTCATTTTCTTGGCAGATGCCCTCATGGATGGTTTTATAGGCTGTTATCATATTTCAACTCATTACAGTGGAGAAAATAATTATTAATTATGTTCATGAACATCAAGTTACATTTAGCCTACAGATTGCTTAATACTGAGTGAAGCAATACTGACATAACAAACCAGAGGTGTGTACAGAAAGTGAAATCTCTGTTGGATGTGCACAAGGAGTCAGCCATTAGGTTACTGAAGTCACCTTTTGATGGGGCCCCTGCCTCCCTTTCCACATCCCCATCCATCTTCAACCAAGTGTATCTCTGATTTTATCACTTTCCTTAGAGACCTTCAGAGGCTCCCTAAATAATGCTCAGGTGTCTTAATCTGGTATTCAGAGACCCCCAAAAGTCATTTGAAGCTACCTTACCCAATTTAAAAATACAGTCAGGTAATAACTGTCTGAGAGTATTGATTTTTCATAAATAGCTCAAAGAGTGGGGAAAATAGCTCGAAGAATTGGAACCTTCTTAGTGTTAATTTCATGTAGCTGACTCAGGAGTGAGCTGGTGGCCTCATGGGTTTCCCATTTTAATACTCTTCACAACTATGGTCATTCTTCTTCTAATTGTTCCTCTCTCCCACTGAAACTCCATGATGTCACAACTGTTCCATCTGAATCTCTAGCATCTAGCACATTATAGGCATTTAGTGGATATTTGTGGTCAGGTGAATGGAACAATCTTTGAATTGATTCCTGAGTGGCATGGCCACTGAACACCAAGGAGACCAAGAGCCTTGACAGGATCTAGCAAGGATCCTGAGAACACCCTTCATGCTCCCTGTGTGAGGGCCCTAACAGTAGTGGATGCTGGGAACCACCACCATAGGCCCATCCACCACACTCTGGCAACACGGGTGTCCCTCAAAGAACCTTTCTGGCCTCCCTAGTCACACCAGAGTCTACTATCCATCATTTTAAAAATTAACATTATAGACTGATAGATCAGGGAAATTCCATTGTGATATTTTTTTAACAAGTATCTGGCAATGACATTCGTTTATGTAAGATGTCAGGGTGTAGGCTGGATGACAGTCTAATTGGATGACTTCATGGCTCATTGATCAAACAGACCCCAGGAGTGTTATGAGTAGATCATTGTCAACTTGAAAAATGTTTAAAGTGGTGTTATGCTTGAAGATTTTGTCCTTTTGATTTTGTTTTCTTTTTTACCAAAACTTGAATAATTTAGAGATGGCAGCTCAGGGGGAAAAGTGTTGATGTATCAGACGACAGTATAAGAATAAAGGGTGAAGAAGGAACTAACATTTATGGAGCATGCTAAAGTTACATTTATGCTAAGCTCTATTTCTAGACACCTATTTACACTGTCTTTGTTTAATAGTTCATTTTCATAAGAGTCATGTAATTGTATTCGTTTGTATCTATTTTTTCCATCTCAGACACCTGAAGTTCAGGAGTTAAATTACATGTCCAGAGTGGTAGAGCCAGGAGGTGGTGAGCCATATCTGAACACAGGTGTGCCCCAATTCTCAGGTCTATAGTCCTCTGCCACCCCAGGCCAGGGGCTTCTGGGCACCAGCCCTTCAGGGTCTACTCAGCATGTGCATTGCACCTTTGGTGATGGGTGTCCGGTTTACACAAGGACATCCATTCTGATCTTCAATACTGCTTCCAGTGAGAACAACATGTAGCCATACTGCAGAGTGGCTCCCGGGAAGACACCTTTGCCACCATGATGCATCACTGACACTGCAGCTCCAACTGGTGACACCAGCATCCAATTGTTGGGTGTTCTTCCACAGCTGCTCCCAAAAAGCCAGGGGATCCTGGGGCAAGCTCGCCAGGGATCATGGTGCCTGCTTTATCATTTTGCTCCCTTCTGAATCCCCACCTGGCCACGGGTCCTATGGTATCTTGAGCCTAGATACCATTTTTGCACTCTAATAGTGAGAGATGCTGGGAAAATGAATTACAGCATGAAGAACAGGAGAGACTTAAGACATGGGGAATGGCAAACAAGGGAATTTGGCCCAAGAGATGGTGGGTAGCTACATTTTGGACACACGTGTCTCAAACTCACCCCAGAGGGAGGTTTTATATCTTTGAAAAGGTCTTCATTTATAGTGACCCACCCCTTGTCCTTTGGGACACAACCAAGATGACATCCCCTTATGGTCTGAAAAAGTGTGAAGGAGCTACCTCTTTTGATCTCCGGGTGGGGGCCCCTGCCTGTTCCTAGTCCAGGTTGCAGAAAACCTGCCAGGTTACCTGTTATCCCCAGGCTATTTACCACCATTTATTTATGAGCTCGGGAAGCACATAGCAAGTCTGTGGGCACTGGCCAGCAAGCAGTGGCAGATTGAGCCCCGCCCACATGGGTAAGCAGGGTCTCTGGGTTATTTGCTGTGTCAGTTGCACTGAGGGTCCTTATTAGATCCTCTCCCAGATGTGTGGCGTTTGGCGTAACTGTGGCTGAGAACTCACTTATCCCATCATTAGGAGTTAAAATAAAATTATTCCCTGGTTAAGGTTTGGCCTTTTGAGGTATGAAAGTGGCACAGGGAGGTATTATTTTGGCCTCTAATTTCTTTGTGTAAATGATAGGAAAATATCTGCTAATATTGTGCCCATCTGATGAATATGGATGGAAATTGTGGTATTTTTCGTATGGTGTGTTCTGAGTCGAGTTTCCTTGCTGGAGGGCTTCGTTTCTTTTTCTTGTCCACTATGCTGCTCTTTTGTGCCAAGACTAAAAATTAACTTATCTGTTGTTTAGAGTTATCACTCAGGCTATCAAAGAAGAGGAGAAAGACCTTCAAAAGTGGAAGGACAAAGCAATTATTATGCAAAAAAAGAAAAAGAAAAAAGGGGCAGCAAGGTCTGTCCATTGCTTTCCACGGCCGGGAAAATTAGCAAGGAAAACATGATGCAGTGGAAACAGAAGCCTCGAAGCCTCTAGGTTATTCCTGACCCCGCTACTGTGTGACCTTGTGCAAGCCACTTTAAGCTTCTGATAGTTTACAAAATGGGGACATTTATAAAATTTATTTATACAAAAAGGACAGTATTTCCCAACCCCATTTCTCTCTCTGTGTGAGCAGGGTCTCCTGCAGGGTCTCTGACACCCCTGTTGGGTGTTGCACAGTGGTTAGGGATATGGGCTTTGTGTTTAGTCTCATGGCTGGGTGACCATGGGGATACAACTGCACCTCTCTGAACCTCAGTTTCCCTATAATATTATCATGATACTGACTCCTTGAGTTGTTTTGAGGTAAAATGTGATGATGTACCTAAGACGTTAAGTTAGTTCCTGGCACTCAACCCACACATTCAAAAATCGTAGCCATTGGCACAAATATAGTAAAAATTTGGGAACAGATTTTACATTGAAATGGAGGTTGTGGAAGGAAGAAATGAAGAATCTCCCTTGCTTCTTCAGACAGTTAGCTTCAGCTGAGAGCAGGCCTGCAGCTGAGGAACTTGTGGGATCAGTGGTGAGGGGCACGAGGGGTCTGCTGCACTCACTCCCCATGCACAGCACAGCTCAAAGTACAGATCACCCACACCTGCCCCATTGCGCTGGGGGAGAAGCTGACCCTTCAGAGGACTGGGGACTGTTGGGGTGAGTTCAGTGCTAGAGTTAGGCCAGCTGCCCCCGAAGACTCTGGAAGAAACTGCTTAGAAATACTAATCTCTAGTTTCTGGGCTTCAGGAGGTTTGGAAAGGGGCCTGAGAATCTTGTTTTTCAAAAAAGCTGTCCCAGGTGGTCCGATGTTTGGTCAGGACCTATAGCAGTGGTTCTCAGTCTTGGAAAATATTGCAAACAACTGAGGAGCATTAAAAACTCCACCTTCCACGCTCAGCCTCGGGCTCATAAAATTAGCACGGGGAGCGTGGGCCCAGGCCGTGGCAGTTTTAAAAGCCACCCCAGGTGAGTCCCACGTGCAGCCTCGGGTGAGAACCACTATATAAGGGAGTCAGCATTCTCAAACGGGCTGCAGGACGCCAGAAGAAGTAGAGGTGCTTCTATGTTGACTGCATAATGGGCTCAGAGCGGCTGGCCAGTACCTCGCCGTGCTAGACTGCAGGACAGGAGGAGGAAGACAGCTGGTAAGTGTGGGGGCCTGAGCTGGGCTGCGGGGTGTGGGCTGGAGTCTGCAGAAGACAACTTACCTGAATAATAGGAGCTTTCTCAGAACCAGTCTGATGAGCGGGGTGGGCGGAAAGGACTTGGAGCAGGGGTTGGTCAGGTGAGGGCCACTGTAGGGACAAGAAGGGAGTGACCTAAACCTGGTGGCTGAGAATTGTGAGCCTGGATGAGTCAGGGGAGGTGACGGACGCTGTGACTTAGGAGGCTTGGTACCAGCTTGTGTGGAGAGGACAAATGGGCCCATGACATGAAGTGGAGTGTGTGTGGAAAGCGGGAAGTGG